GATGATGAGGTACGGATGGAAGTTGAAGCAAATAAGAGAGCATGGCTAGATTTACTAGCAACTAAAGCTGGTAATTCTGGCGGTATGAATGATGAGATTGAAAGAAAAAAGGCAGACTTTAGACGTATAAATAAGAGAGTAAAAGAAGTTGTTGAAACGAAAAAGCAAGAAAGGATAGATAAAAATGATAGAAGGATATCTGATAACTTCCAGGAAAATATTAAAATGTTCTGGAAGCTCGTAAGAACTGCCAGGGGAAATTCAAAACAGCCTAGAATGAATGCTGAGACAAGAATGGCTGCATGTTGAATGATGAAGTTTCGAATTTAAAGAGATAGAAGGAATACTTTGAAAGCGTGTTTAAGAGTGAAGAGTCGTCTGAAATAAGTGAAATAGAAATTCCGGAAGAAGTGGAGAGAGGTAGGGAGATAAGTATAGATGAAATAATGAAAGCAATGAAAAGCATGAAAGCAGGTAAGGCAGCCGGATATGATAGAGTATCCCTCGAAATGCTAAGGGCTGGTGAGGGTGTGGTTGCAGGCCTGCTGTACACCTTGTTTAATTTATGTTGGGAACTGAAGCGGGTACCGGAAGACTGGTGTAAAGCCGTTATAGTCCCAATATATAAGGGAAAGGGGTCACAACAGGACTGCAAAAACTACCGTGGTATCAGCTTGCTTAGCATTGTGGGTAAACTGTATGCTAAGGTGTTAATTGAAAGAGTTACGGAAGAAACTGATGGAAAAATTTGGGATGTGCAAGCTGGATTTAGAAAGGGGATGGGGTGTACGGATCAAGTCTTTTCCATGCGCATGATAGCGGAGAAGTTTTTGGCCAAAAACCAGAAAGTTTTTTGTGCGGTAATGGACTTGGAAAAGGCTTATGACAGAGTGGACAGGAATGTGTTATGGCAAACACTGAACTCATTTGGGTTGAGCGCTGGCTTGATACAGGCATTAAGGTTTCTTTATAGGGACTCTAGTGCTTGTGTCAGGATCAACGGGGTCTACTCGGATTGGTTTGGCATTCATAAAGGTGTCAGACAGGGATGCGTGGCTTCCCCGTGGTTGTTTAACCTATTTATGGACAGTTGTTTGCAAACTTTGAAAGTTGAAGAATGTGGGTTGAGAATGGGTGAGTCAACCGTCAAATGCCTTTTGTACGCCGATGATCAAGTCATATTTGCATCGTCGGAGGCAGAGTTGCAAATGATGGTTACTTTAATGAATTGGTCATTGAAAGAAAGGGGTATGAAAGTGAACGCAAGTAAGACGAAAGTGATGGTTTTTGAAAGAGAAGGAGTTGATTGAGCAAGTGGATGAGTTTGTATATTTGGGATGTTTATTTAGCAGGGATGGTAGATATGATAAGGATATAGAACGACGAGTGAACGCAGGAAATAGAGTGAATGGGGTTCTACACGCTATTATGAGGAGTCATAATGTGTCAACTAAGGCACGTATGGCAATTCATAATGCTGTGTTTAAACTTTAATGTATGGTAGTGAAAGTTGGGTCTGGCAGAAGAAGCATGAGAGTAGAATAAATGCTGTAGAAATGCGTTCCTTAAGGAGTATGCTAGGGCTGCATCTGAATGACAGGGTGAGAAATAGTGTGATAAGAGAAAAGTGTGGTTTGCAAGATGACGTTGTGACAAGGATTAAGAAAGGAATGCTTCGGTGGTTTGGTCATGTAGAAAGAATGAACGAGGAAAGAGTGACAAAGCAAATTTATGTAGCAGAAGTGAACGGCAGGGTCGGGAAGGGACGCCCTAGACGAAGGTTTTTCGACCAAATCGGCGACAGATTAAAAATGGGCCAGATTAGGAGTACTCTTAACCGACGAGCGTGTATGCGTAGATAGATATATGGATGTAAAAGAGGCTAGAGAGGTGTGTCAGGATCGCGCCAAATGGAAGTCCGTAGTCTCTGCCTACCCCTCTGGATGACAGGCGTGAGTGTTTATGTTTATGTTATGTCATATTGCCAAGTGACGCGTGGGCTATGATTTACAAGTAAAAATGAACTAAGGTCTGTAATCTGAACAAGTAATGTATTGTCAATTCATTGGTACAAAATAAGCCTATAAAGCTACGAACTTAAGTTTTTCCTGCAAAGTGAAGATTTTTTTTTAGTTTTGCACGACTCATAATGCGAATTATAAAAAGTGCTCTACGATCGAAAAAAATTCCCTTCTTTTTTGTTTGCAAATATTTTTATGGTTATACTCTTGTTAGTTCATGAAACCAAAATTATTTATATACCATTCTACAGATAATTTATTGGAGAATAATTGTGTAACTTTCAACAATCGATTTTGTGTAATAGAAATGAAATAAATATTAAAATAGGCTTAAAATTTTTCCCGTCACTCGATAAAATAAAGTTTCAGCTTGAAAACACGGTAACTTGAGAATAAACCCAACGTTTAAGATTTTTTTTAAATAGACTCGTCTTTAGCTTGAAGATTTTGGGATCTTAAATGGCCTTTTAACTCTGTGTTGTTTAACTATAATTAATAAAAAATGTAACGTAGATTTTCATATATTAATATTTCGTAGCATTAATTGAGCGCTAATTTATTGTGTTATATCATTAGGCGATAACCCACTCTGATGTCAATATTTTCATTACATTACTCTGCTAAAGATGTCAAAGTATCAGTTTAAGATATAAACACCAAATGAGCACTTAATATTTAGTATAATTTTCTAGTGATTTTGCCCAAATGACCATTCCAGCTTTATATACGTCTTTTACTAGAAACAAGGCATTCTATCTTAGTCCTCACGGGTGACAACGCATTTGCATTTTGATTCGTAGTTGAGGATGGATGTAGATATCTGTGGGCCACAGCTACTACTACTTACCATCAGGTGGACTGTGTTCTCGTTTGTCACCCTTATCATATAAAAAAACTTTATACTAAATGAAGATTATAATATACGCAATATTTTTTTTTAGATAAGGTCCAAGTGTCTAAGAAATAAAACTAAGAAAACCTAATTCAAATCTATCTAGTAGTGTTTCCATGATGCGCGCACAACTACAAACCTCAATCATTTTATTTATATTATGAATCAAAATGCGATGCGTTGTCACACCTGAGGACTAAGATTTAATTATTCGTTAACATTAAAAAGGGTCTCCGGCTCTCTACAGTCACCATACAAAAAATATCAACATAAAGTTGCTATTTTACGCTTGTTTTCTGTGAGAGCGTGGTCCTTCCCCGGTCGAGCCGACCCATTCGTGCTACAACTATACTACTAACATAGCTGCAGCATGGCTCTACCACGTTAATTCGTGCAACAACTAGTTTGAAACTCGATATCACTCCCAAATCTTAAGAAATTTTCTATTCATTATCATTTTACAACGTTATGTATACATGATTTTTGACATTGATATATTGAAAAATTATATTTTGTATATTCAAATATAATTTGAGGACAAAAAGGACAAATACAACAATAATTGAAAACATTCAATACAATACAATACAAATATACTTTTAAATATTTCCAAATTTTGTAAGAATTATAATACAGTTGAAATGAGTTGAATGACACATTATTTCTGTTTGTTTATTTGTATTTAGTTCTGTATTATAAGCTGTATTATTGCTGCAACACGAATAGGTAATTTTTTGGACCAGAGAAGGATCATTTACGGAAAAAGTGATAAAATTAAACATTTTGTACAACCGACTACAATATAAACTATTAAGGATAACTCAAGAACTTGGTCAGACCTTGATCAAATTTATATGGCACCACATGAGAAGTACCAGTTTTTAAATAGAGTTTTAATAAAGTTTTTAAACAAAAAACATACAGTCTAATTGAGTACCTCCTCCTTTTTGAAGTCGGTTAAAAATAAATCAGTGTAAAATGCAACATAATGCTATTTTGTATTGTATGGTATGTACCGAGAACAGAAATCCTTTTTACTGGGTTACGAGGCTTTTCAACTTACACCTCAGAAGTGGCAACTCATCTGCATTTTGCTTCTGACTCGAGGAAAGATTTAGATGTGTATAGGCCACAGTATCCATTTTACCATTAGGTAGATTGTGTACTCGTTTGACAAAATCACAAATTAAAGATAACACCACACTGATGAATCACATTCCATCCTACCGTCACAGTCTATAAAAGCCCACTGATGAATATAATAAGCCTCATAGATTGCCTCATGAAGGGATTTTGCCATAGTTGCCACGCTTGGCAAGTGGGTTAACACAGCAGTTTTTAATTATTTTCAGTTGTTATCAGAAAGATGCTGCCGCTCATCTCCTGTTTCTTTTTCCCTCTGTCGCCTCTTACAACACCATCGGGACGATGATCGATAATCACATTGAGATGAATCACATTAAATCCATGTAAATATTACTAAAAAGTTTACTTTTTATGAAAGATGACTATGTGTATCACAATCTAATCTATCTAAACCGGCAATAGAAACTAGCATCCGAGTAATAAGTCAATTCGTAAGACGCTAATACTACGGTTTACAGTCGCACACCAAATGTGGCGATTACGAGAAATCGTCCCTACTGGTTAATGTACTGTTTATGAGGAGGACGGAATTGCCTTTTATTAAAATGGCGTATCGTAACTTGTTGTAAAATTTGTGCTCAAAAAGTATATATTTTTTATGTCAACTCTAACATGTATATTATTTTTATATATTTTTTATATTTCTATTGTGATTCATAACACGTTTGTATCACGTGAGAAATATAAAAAAATTACGAACAACAACTTCATAGCTTTTACATTTCAGACGTTGTCGTAAAAAGGGTCCGATGCTGTGAATGTCTCATATAAAAAGTCTCAATGTCTGTCACACAGTAAACAAAACGATAAAACATTTTAAGTTGCGATTTTATTTACTGGATCGAACGACGTATTCGACATTGGCTACAACTAACTTTTCTCGTTATTTCTTTAATTAAGTTTTATAAAATGATTATATAAAAATCTTTTCTTTGTTACAGTGTGCGCAGCGTCATGCACAAATACATGGAGAAAAAGAACGAAGTAAATTTTGACAAAATATTTAATCAAGTTCTAGGTGAGTATTATATATATACATATCGCCTGTAAGTTTACGTGTTTTTTGTCATATAAAGAGTGACAAGCGAGCCAAGATCAAGTCCACTTGATCGTTAATATCTCCTACAGCTTATGGAGACCTGAAATTAATTTCAAACAGAACAAAAGAAGGCCGCAGATGCGATGACACTACTGGGGACTATCCTGTAATTCGGGACAAAGCAATGGAACTACTGCTTTGTGACAGAAATAGACAAGAGACAATTTTTTTTTAATGTCGGTTATAGGAATGCGTTTGGTAAGATTTTGAAATATTGAGACTAAGACTAGATTAATACAAATCCAGAGAGCATACGCATTCATTTTGTAATAATTTAATTTTAAATTCTATTGCGTCACATACCATATTTTTGTTGGAATGGTCATACTTCTGAAAAGCTTGATGATTAATTTATAATGTTTTCATGTTTTTGAGCGAAAAGGAAAACTACTTTTTATCTATACAAATAAATAAAATTGAAGTGTCTGTTTGTAATGTCAAAATTACAGTTTTTACTAAAATGCATATGAAAGTGAATATGGTACTTATAACTAACATACAGTTTTTAAAATTTTTGTCTGTCTGTCTGTCTGTTCGTCTATCTGTCTGTTTGTTCCGGCTAATCTTCGAAACGGCTGGACCTATTTTGACGGGACTTTCACTGGCAGATAGCTGATTTCATAAGGAGTAACTTAGGCTCATCGATTACTAATAAAAAGCTAGATACAAAATCCCATGCAAAAGTTCTCTAAAAACTGTCGACAATTGTTTTGACGTAATGCTAGTTAAAATAGATATACATTAAAGTAAATTCAACCTTAAACGCATTATCTAAAGTTGTATACACAAAGCTACGTACAAATTAAAAGCGCACCCAAATGTTCGAGTGGGCGCTCATTCGGTAAGGATACTTTTTGTCACTGATTGTGTATCTAGTTTTTTATTAGTGATCGATGCTTAGGCTACTTTTATTTTGGAAAAATAATTAGGGTTCCGCGTAAAAACATAAAACCCTAACACGCGAGCGAAGTCACGGGGAACAGCTAGTATTAACTATTTTTAATAGCGCTAAAAAGTTACATCGTTAAATATATTGAAATAATATATAAATATATTATATTTCCGAATGCTGTCCACTCTTTTTTCAGTTCTTAATGATCCTTCCTCACCCTTTTATAAAAAAAAAAGATTTCAATTCCTTAGTAACACTCATTAATCACAAAATTAAAACACAAAATTAATTCCCGTCCACTCCTCTCTACCATTCTGGGTCTATGTCAAATTCTTTCACAGTTACTTCCCTTTTATCATTACCCTTTGGAACAAATTGCCTGTTGACCTGCGAACAACACCTGCCAAAAATGTTTTTAAAAGAAAACAAAATGAGCATATCCGTAGCCTACAAAGCTGAGTCAACTTATTTTATATGTTTATTGTTATATTATATATATATATATATATATATATATATATATATATATATATATATATATATATATGTATATTTTATGTATGTGTTGCATGTATATATTTGAACTGATCTATATCATGACAACTTAACTGCCCAAACTACTCTCTGTTCTACCAAAGGTTAGCTGGTAGAGAATACCATATAGCATTAAGCTCGCCTTTTGTACAAATAAATTAAATCTGCCACCTCATGCGCTACCTTGAGGATCACTAGCTGATTAGTGACCGCCAGTACGGTTTTCGTCGGGGTCGATCAGCTGGTGATCTTCTGGTCTACTTAACTCATAGATGGGCGGAGGTAGTAGAGTGCGAGGGGGAGGCATTGGCCGTTAGTTTGGACATTGCGAAGGCCTTCGATCGGGTTTGGCACAAAGCGCTTCTTTCGAAGCTCCCTTCCTATGGGCTTCCCGAGAAATTATTCAATTGGATCACCAGCTTTCTTGCAGATCGGAGCATCAAGGTCGTTGTAGACGGTGCATGCTCCGACTACAAGCCTATTAACGCTGGTGTTCCACAAGGCTGCGTGCTATCACCAACGCTGTTTCTTCTGCATATCAATGATATGTTGCAAGCCGGTAGCATTCATTGCTATGCGGGTGACAACACTGGTGATGCTCTATACACCGGCCGTGCCAATATTTCTCGGGAAAACATCACCGTGTACCGGAACAAACTTGTGTCTGAAATCGAGTCTTTGCTGGACAAAGTCTCGGATTGGGGGCGACTAAATCTAGTCCAGTTTAATCCTCAGAAGACACAAGTTTGCGCGTTTACCGCTAAAAAGAACCCCTTTGTCGTATCTCCTCAGTTTCAAGGTACTCCCCTTGTTGCCTCAGTCAGTATCGGTATCCTCGGAGTCGACATATCGAGTGACGTGCAGTTTCGTGGTCACTTGGAAGAGAAGGCCAAATTGGCCTCTAAAAAGCTTGGCGTGCTCAGCAGAGCGGGACAGTATTTCATGCCGGCACACCGCCTGCAACTTTACAAGGCGCAGGTTGGGCCTCACATGGAATACTGTTCCCATCTCTGGGCAGGGGCTCCCCAGTGCCAGTTCCTTCCACTTGACCGCATCCAGCGCAGAGCGGCTCGAATCGTCGACGACCGAGTCCTTTCCGATCGGCTCGACTCATCGGCGCTGCGAAGAGATGTTGCATCTCTTTGCATGTTCTTACGCATTTACCACGGGGCGTGCTCTGAGGAATTGTTCGGATTAATCCCAGCCGCCAAATTTCACGAACGCACATCGCGAGTCGCGACAGAACTCCCGATACTATCCATACCATTTGGATGATTGGCGGTCCACCACTGTGCGATTTAGAAGATGTTTTCTTCCTCGCACAACTTCCTTGTGGAATAGTTTTTCCGGACCGATACGACTTAAGGACCTTCAAGAAAAGAGCTTACACCTTTCTAAAAGGCCGGCAACGCATCTGCAATTCCCCTGGTGTTGCGGTTGTTCATGGGCGGCGGTAGTCACTTACCATCAGGTGGGCCGCATGCTCGTTTGCCCCCTCTTCTATAAAAAAAATAGTATTGTCAGAGAAATAAATGTTTTTTATTAAATAGGATTTTAGGAATTTTGTAACTGAAACGAATATTATGAGCCGGACAGTATGGGCAGAAAAAACTCCAGGTTACTTGTATTCAAAATTATAGAACAACGTGCATAGTATAATTGCCCATTATAGCAAAAATAAAACAAAATCTTAATAGTGAAACGTACTAACCTTATTTAACATGACAATAAATTTTGTAGAAATGGATTTATAGAGAATGAAAAGTAGAAAGAGCGCACCCACGTCGAGAGTACAAAAATGACAGTTATGACTGATTTTACGATGAAAACTGCTTAGCTTTAGCCCCTTTTAGGCAAGCTTTTAGTTTTAGTTAAACATTATTTAATGTTTTTATCTAAAATCTTCAATGTCATATACAATACACGGTTATATAGTTGTGTCATACGAGGGTGACACTGAAAGTTCTTAGAAAATCAAAAACTGAACAAACTAATAAGTTATTAGTTTTATCATATCTTTACAAAATAGTGTGCATTTATATCCATACATCGCTGCATCCGAATGAACCACTGAGAAAAACACTTTGCCCACTCGTCCTTAGGGGTCTCTTCGACGGCATTTTGAAACGCAGCCACTGCTTCCTCGGCGTCCATAAAACATTTTCCGCGATTTTCTTTGTTTCGGAAATAAATAAAAATCGCAAGGTGCGAGGTCGGGGCTATAGGGCGGGGGACTCAGTAATTCCACGTCTGACATCGCCAAGTAGTCGATTGTTTGCTTGGCGGTGTGCTACGAGACGTTGTCGTGATGAAGGAGGATCCTACTGAGAGGTCGTTTCTCCCGAACTTTTTCCAAGACTACTAAAATTTTGTGTAAATACGTTATTTTAAATCTTTTTATCCAACATTCATAATTATTCACCTTATTAATGGGAAAAATGTGAGAAAAGTCATTTCAAATGCATGAAATAAATGTCATTATTTTCGACTGTATCAACTTTAAACTCCGTTTTCGCACAAAAATGCCGTATAAAGTACCAACTATTTTGTGTTATTTTGGGAGCTAAGAAACCCATTTTTTTTTAAATTATCAGGAAGTTATTCAGTCAGGGTTAAGAAATTTTTTTTCAAGTTGAAATCAAATAGAAATAATTCTCAAGCAGAAAGTTTAATTTTGTGAGCTAAATCGGAGCTACTAGTAATTTGAATTTTGGTGTTTAGTGTTTTTACAGACGAACACATGCTAGCCATAATACTAACAAAAAAAAATCTCTAAGAATTACTTCACAGAAAAAGTTATAGCTAAAACCGTCCAAAATTAAAAAAAAAAAAACTGAAAATGTAACAAAAAAATTCATATCTCGAAAACTACAACAAATCGCGGAATATACATGGAGTCCAATCGATAGGTATTGGTGTCCCCAGACCACAGACCTTCGCTGGAACAGATTTCCTGGGACAACCTGTATATAGATTATAGTGTTAAATATGTATTTATAATTCACCCATATTTTCATTTGTGTTTATAATCGGCGAGACACATGATTTACTGTTTTATTTCAGTCTGAACAACATCATGACAGCTACAGTTGATTGGATAGTAAAAAATATCTTCCTTTGTCATTTTTCGATGACAAGTTTATTGTGCCCTACAGGCACATTTGTGTGCTGGATTGGTGGAGAATAAAATCGCTGCGATATTTTTCTTTCTTCTATATTTGGTGTTTTCCTTGAGGTAGCTGGCCGCCGACTGTGTCGAACGACGAAAATCGCCCCTCTTTTATACCGCCTCGGGCTGGGTCAATGGATACGGCCGACGCATCGTACAAATGGCGTCGACCAATCAGCGCGAGGCGTGACAGAGCAAGTGACGATGCTGAGTCCCGTTACATTGTTTGTCTTAAGCTAGTTCTATATCTTACTGAGTCATTGTTTACATTGTTTACCTTAAGCTAGTTCTGTTATACAAAGTGACCAACTAATTTTATTACAC